AGCTATTTATAGTAAAATATATGTGCAAGCAGAGATCTAGTATAGCAAGTATAGATGAGCATTGTAGTAAGCTGATAATGATGAGAATATAGTAGTAATATAATGTTAGTGATATTTAGTAGTGTATACCTCTTTTTTCTGACACACCCTCTTCAGCAAATGTAACATGTAAATGAAAGTATAATTGAAGCTGTAATAAAAAGAGTGTAGATGAATCTGTAGCAATTACATCAAGATAGATCATTTATTCTGCTTACACCTCAATGATATCTGATATATCAACTAGGCCTAGCATCTTGACAAATTCTGTATGTTTCTGGCATGGCAGAGCCTTAGTGAGGCCATTCACTGGCATCTGGGCTGTAGGCACTCAATCAACTGTAATATCACTGAATTGAACATGTTCTCGGATTGATATCTCTCATCCGAATCCTCCCATCGGGATAGGATGACGATATCATCCACATAGAAGAAGACAATTAATCAATCATTTGAGAAGAGGCAGCAATCCTCTGACATAGAGATGAAGTCTAGTGTTCTCAGATTCTTTGTAATATAGGTGTTTTTCAGCATCTGTTCAGTGGTTCAGTGAATCTGGCAGTTGAGATCTATAAATTCTTGAAGTCAGTATGGATGCTGTTGATGTAGATGTATTATTGATAACAGTAAAAACAGTATTAAGAAATAAACTTTAAGACTTGTAGAAGTCTGAATATGAATGAGAATGAGAGAATGCTTCATTGATCATTTGAAAAGGATTGACTTTGACATTTGTAACTGTCACAAGGTGGACAGCTCTGTGATTTCAGGCTTGTGTATGATTATCTATCACAGCTGAATAAGTATTGATATCAACATTGCTGTTCTGTATACAATTATCTATCACAGCTGAATGAGTATTAATATCAACATTAAAGTTCTGTGTATGATTAGCTATTGTATCTGAATGAGTATTAATATCAACATTAATGTTCTGTGTATAATTATCTATCACAGTTGAATGAGTATTAATATCAACTTCAGTGTTCTGAGTACAATTAGCTATCACAGCTGATTAAGTATTAATATCAATATTGAAATCTGTATCAACATTAGAGTCTGCTGACTCTGGTGTAGGTTCAGGTATTGAATACAGTGTATGAGATCTAACATGAGAATATCTAGATATTTGATTTTCCACATTAGATAGCTGGCAGAGGTTGCAAAGCTCAGTGATAAGCTCATCTGCAGCATCTTCTAGATGAGTGATTTGAACACCAGTTGCATCATTTACAAGATTTTGAATGATGATTTTTGAAGAATGTTCTAATCTCTTATACCACATAGACTGAGTAGCTATAGAGATCTTAGGTTTTTGAGATGGTTTTGTAGAAGTGTGTATTGACAGATTGAAAGAATGATTTCTTGAAGTGTGTATTGACAGATTAGAAGAAGAATTTGTAGAAGTTAAAGAATTTGATGATATCATTTTTTCAGATATAGTGATGTTAGAAGTGTGAGATGTGAACTGTGTGATAGCTGAGATAGTTGAGAAAACAGCTTTTTCACTATATTCTGTAACTAGCAATCTCTCAAATACTTCAACATGTGTAAAGATTGTATTATCTATGTGTTTTTACAATCTGAAGTCTTTTCCATCATAATAAATGCCTTCTATATGAAAACACAGTTTCCATGCAATGATATTTGTATGGAAATTCGGGATGTAAGCTGCATTGATGAGGTTGACATTGAACTGCTTTCCTGCTTCATTTATCATGATAGTTCTAACAGTTTCATAATCTTCAACTTTAGTGCTGGAATCATCTGTATAGACTTCTGTGTTCACAGAAGTAAAGAATAGAAAATGTGTTTGATTATTATATATATGCTGTTCCGCGCCAGTATCAAAGATTCAGAAGTTTCAGAGATAGAAGTGAGAATTTGAAGAGTTTATTGATATTTTTCTGATCTGTTGATTGATAGATTGATGATCAGTAGATAGATTGAGAATTAATAGATTGAGAATCTGATTGCTTCAGAACCATTCCTCTCAGAACTGCTTCATTGACATCTATCATATCTGTATTCATGAATGAATCTCTAGATATCGCATGATCAATGCATCTCTTTAATTCTTGATTCTTAAGAGCTTGATTGATCTGAGTTCTCTTCTCCTCATTTTTCTTTCATCCAGGTGACTTCCTTGATGAATTGAGATAGTAGCACTGAGTGTATCAGTGGCAGGCTCCGCAGATGCAGTTTCCAAATGTTGCTGGTAATGAGAATTGCTGAGATCTTTCATTAAGAGTAGTGAAGTTTATAGATTTATCTTCTTTGAGAATACTCATTTCTCTATACTGGTTCTTGAAGTTCTTAACTAACTCTATTAAAGATATGACATCTTTATCACATCAAATATTCTTAGCCCAGATCTGTGTATATCCTGCATCAATAGCTAGATTCACATTTAAGAAATCTTTCTTCAAGTTGAACTGTCCAGCTATATCTGCCTCTTTGATATCATCTTCAATAAGTGATCAGTTGTTTAATCACTTCTCTATACCTTTGTTTTTCAGTGCTTTGCAGAGATCATGGTATCAGGTTCTCACATCATCTTGATAGTCTGCGGTCGTGGGGGAGAGTTGATCTCTTAATGAACAGATAATCTTCTTCACATCATCATTCTCACTGCATACATGTAGCTCTGTGACATCTACTGTTCTTCATATAACATCTCATATATTTGTCATACCTTCATTCAATTTCTCATATTTCATATATTTGATTTTCCACGCAGTGACCTTGATGTCATATACTATCTTAGTCTCTGCAGTGGCTTCTTCTGAACACTCAGATTTCAGAGTTTCTTCTAGTTCAGATATAAGAATAAGTGCTCACAGGTGATTATTCAGGTGTTTGCAGCTTGGCATGATATATACTGTTAACTACTAGAAGTATTCATGATAGAAAGATAAAATGTAGAGATTAAATGTATAATAGTATTTAAGCTGAGTTGTGAATAGTATTCATGAACTTCAGTCTATATAGTTGTGTGTAGTCAAGAGCTGCTAACTCTATTAATTACATAAGAGATAGAAATAGAGATAAGAAATCTGTGAGAAGTGAGATTTCTTACATATTCTTCTCTCTCTAAGACTTTATCTGTGAAGTCTTTTACTGAGTGATTTCATAGAATTAGACTCAGTACTGCAGTGATACTCACTAAAAATTCTTTATATCTATATAAAAAAAATCTCAGTGAGAAAAAATCTCTTATTATTATAAAGAAAAAAGAGTCTGTCACTCAGTTTCTTATTCTGTGAGATTCTTTATAATTTGCAGATCTTTCTCTGACTATTATACAGATTCATCTCACATCTTTTATACAGAAGAATTCTGATTAACTCTCAATCATTTCTGTAAGATTCTTATATAATTATCACATAGATTTGCCAGCATGGCCCAGTTGATAAGACTGATAATCAAGGCCACACACATTAGAGATGTGTGGGTTTGAATCTCACTGCTGATATCTGTCACTTCTTACTCATCAAAGCTCTCATGTAATAGAGGCTGAGCTTAATTAGTAAGACTTAATACAGAGTAGAACTCTCTACTGCAAGTCAAGTCACTAGTTAAGTGAGATTCTGCAAACACTTATCAGAGTTAGTATGAAATGTCAATATCTCACTATTCTACTATACATCTGTCAAGGTTCTAATGATATAGAGTCAAGTCTAATGTAGTGATTATATACTACTTAAGTAAGTCTCTAACTAGAGTTATCATCAGAGCCTAGCTCTCTCTCAAATACAGAGAATGATTTTAAAAATTACTTAACTAGCAGATTTAGATATATATTTAAACTATAGACAGAGTACTCTGATAGACTAGAGTCTGCAAGCTCACTATTAAGCTCTAATACTAGTAGGAAGAACTGCAGTTATCAAGTCTATAATTAGTCTCTAATATAAGATGAGATTATGATAGTTAATTAATAGATCTATAAGCATTCTTATTCTTAACTAAGATAGAAATTAAATACTTAATAGACTTTTTATCAGAAACTTAAGCAGTTATAAGAAAATGACTGAATTCAGAAATATTTAAATATGAAGAGAAGGAAATTAATTAGATATAATCTGTTAAAACAGCTATATACTATCTTTTGATAATTTATTTCATTACAGTCTCTCTTTATTTTACTTTACTTTTTTCTTTCTATTCTTTTCTATCTATCTATTTAATATGTCTATCTTTAAGACTGTGTTCTCTTTTCTTTTATCATAATATTGTCAAATAATTTCAAAGTATCAGAAGATGTTAAAATACTGTAATTTATAAACAGTTTTTATATTCTGAGCTGAAATTTTCTGATTTTACATATCTGAAAGTGATGAATGTATAATAGTTAACTTTATAGATATAGAAAAAACTCTGAGAACTTTTAATTCTTAGATAGATATCATAGTCTCTGACTGCATACATCTATAATTGAAGAATAATAATAATAATAATAATAATTATATAGATTTATTCTATATCTTTCAATCTAAAGAATTTCAGTTAATCTTCAATTATTTTTCTGTAAGATTCTTATATAATTATTATATAGATTTATTCTGCAGATAAATCACTTTCTATAAGATTATCTTTATTAAAGAGAAGTATTTATAAGTTAATCTTTTACTTATTCTTATAAATTATTATTCTTTAATACTGTAGAATTATGAGAAATTTTTCATTCTTTTATTAACTCTGTAGAATTATAGAATCAAGATGTTTATAGTCTATAATTACTCTTTGTAATTATATAGAAAGATTCAGATCTGTAATTTATAATCACTTTTTATTTACTAGAGTGAGGTAACTGTTCTGTGAGATTATTTACAGTGTAAATAAATCTCTCTAAAGTAGTATAAATATCTCAGATCTGTTTATAAAATTTCATCTTCTTTTCTCTTTTTCTATAACAGCTCTTAATCTTATAAACTGTGAGTATTCTTATTTATTCATGAAGTGTTTTTACTCAGATAATAGAGAGAGAGTATTTCTAACAATATCTATATATTAATTCAAGAACTTCTCAAGAATAAATTTTTTTTTTCAATTTTAATATCTTTATAAATATTGTCTGACTATCACTGAGCTTTTTATAAGTATTCTTATAACTTCTCTAATTACTTTTTATCAGCTGATGAAGTAGAAATATTACTATTTATAACAGTATCTTTATCTCTCTCAGTCTTATTATCACATCTGATCTTCAGATCAGCAGTTAATTTCATATCTCTTTCAGATTAACTTCTGACTCTAAGTAATACAGTCTCACTCTTTGCTGTAAGTCTTTCTATAAGAAATTTCTTACAGACTCTAGTTAATAGTTTCTGTAAAGCTTCTGATACTGTCAGTGTCTTCTATAGTTCTGTAAGTCTATAATTATCTTCTCTCTATCTGCATACTCTCTGATCAGATATATGTAAATATGTCTAGATTTTCTATCAACAGTTCTCACTGCAATGCGTTTTCACAATCTCATTATTAATAACAGATGAGTTCTCAGATACCTGTAAAATTCAGATAATTAAGATAATATAAATATTATAAATTCATAATAGAAGTTAACTTGAGTAGATAAGCTCTCTCTTTATATTCTAATTATTTTCAGACTGAATACTTCAGTATAACTGAGAAAGCAGACACCGCTTTATAACAGATATCTGATTATATATATAGATAATCAGCTCTCAAGATTCTGCTATAACTATATATACTCTGATATTTAGCTTCTCTGAAGTCTGTGCATTTCTGATAGTTTTTATATCAAATGTTAGAGCACAAGCGCTTCATCACAAACTCACTTAATTTTTCAAATAAGAACCCGCCAATAGATTCATCAAAAGTCCTCAATCATACAAGCATTTTGACCTCATCGCTGACCGCATACCTCATGTGATGATGCAGTTATCCAGCCAAATATGAACCAGATGTTGTTTAAAACTCCTGTGTGAGATTATCCCTCATTCACTCCTATCATATCACAACCCCGGGCCAATTTGTCATACAAATTGTAAGGTGAAGAGACCTAGTTATATGCATCAATCTTCTTGAGTTTGGAAGATCTCTGATCTGTAATTGTGAAGATATCTGAGAAGCAACTTTCATGAAAACCCTGTCTATCTTTGATATTTCAAAACATCAACACCAAGTCTCACTCACATACCGCCCTTCCCAACATGGCTCACCTTCAGCAGAAAAATACAAAAAGATACCTCAGCAATAGTATTAAGCACATAATCAACAGACACATCTGAAGTGCATTCTCCGCAAAAAACCCTCTCT